AACAATTGAAAAAAAAATTAAAGAATGAAAAAATAATCATTTTAGATGTACCTGAGATCCCCTTTGAATTTAAATATTAACATTCTTCTTTCCTCATTAACCGAATAAGGTGAATAATGCTTTCTAACCTGATTTCCCACGATTTTATGTAATATATATGTTCTATGCGGTTAAAATAACAATTGCATATGTTGATTACTTCGCTTGTAAAGTTTCTAACAATTATCTTTTACTTGCTTACATTAACTCTTATTATATAAGATTTCCATCTAAGGATTAGTGTTAAGTTTTTATGGCAGAAAAATTACTTTTTACGATTTAGTTGTTTCACATGGCTTTTCCTAAAATGATTATTTTTTTTATTTTTTTGATTCTTTCAATTATTTCTATTATATTATTACCAATGTTTTTCATAAATTAAAAGTACAAACTTCTAACTTATAAAATATAAAATAAATATTAGATATAATACAAAATTTTTGAAAAAGAAAACAAAAACATGCATTACATACCTTAAGTAAAAATTTGTAAATTTTGTTTGAAAATTTTCTTTTTATCATTATGCTATAGATCATTCGCACTTCAGAAACGTTCAAAACTAATAAAAAAATATTTATAATAAATTTAAAAATTATAATCAATTAAAATATATTATGATAAAAATAATAAATATAATTATACTTACCTGAAGGAGAATTTAAATTTGACTTGATATTTTTAATTATCGAAAAATTATTTCTATATTATCAGTGATAGTAATTTGTATTTCTGAGATGTTACTTAAAATAATATTAAAATTTTCATTAACATTACAAAAATCTTTATTTATAGTTGATTTTATCCATTTGAAAAAACATAAGTCTTTTCAATCTCTAATATGTTATGAAATATGTCAATTGTTTAATTAAACATTATGACATATATTTTTAAACCCTGATTTTTTTTTTCATATAATTTATTAGAAAAAAAATAAAAAATTTGTTTTTTTTTTCAAAACAATAAAAATAATATTCATTGAAATAAAATAAAAAAAATAATTACCTCTTTATCTATTAAAGTAAGCTTCTTAATCTTTCTTTGTCTAGATTTGAACACTCTAACAACATCAATCTGAGTTATTAGAACAGTAATACTTCAATAACTTTGATGTAGAGATAAACTTTTAATAAGACTTGATTGATCCATTAAGCTTTATTTGATATTAATGTGTCATTTAATTGAAAATAATTAAATAACATTTAGATAAATATATTACAATATAAAAATAATAATAATATAATACTTAATTTAAATGTATCTACATATCAATTAAAGATTTGAAAGATATGAAAATCTCTTTATACATAATATTTTTTGTGCAAGAAACTTGAATAGAAGTATATTTATCTAGTATGATAAGTAACTTTGTTAGGCTCATTGTTATGCCTCTTGATA